AAACCATTATACCCTGATTTCCCATTTTCAATGGGTTCAGGGTATAAAAATCCTAAATCAAATAAAAAATAAATGAGCGACGCGATGCGACGTAGCGAAGAAAATTAAATTTGTTTGGGTTTGTCGGGCACTCGATATGCCCTTTGTTGCAAGCTCAGCTCCATTGTGATTATAGTAGTAGAGAGAGCTGGAGTCAGCCCCTTTAATAAATGAGCCGGAATTATGCCGCTCTAATATGGGGCATTACTGCAATTGTTTCTATAAAGCGCTTTTTCCGCCGCTCCCCCGCCTCTTCTGCCCCACCTTCCACTCGTCGCTCTTCTTTCGATGCATTTTACAGATGCCTAAATCCCCTTGCACTATCGTTGCGGTTGCATCTTTTCGCTTTGTTGGGCTTTCCACTAGCAGCGGCAGCAACCGCACGAGGTGCACACAAATATGCCATTCAGGTGCCACAGAAAGGAAGACATTTTAATTCACGGAAACTGAAAAAATTCGTTTTATGAAAAGGTCTTATTATTAATTGAAAAAAGTAAATAAATAGAGAGTTCGGGAAATTATTTCCTTTATACACATACACATGTGCTATTAATTATTTTGAAAGATACATCGGAGATCGAGGCAACAGCTAACTATGGGGAAATTCACAGTTTCATTTAATATTTATAGTATATATATGTACATGAAATACAAATTCTAATGAGCTAATTTCTCATATTTATTTCGAGTAAAAATCCATCACTCAGACAAAATTATGAAGTCCATATTGTGTAGTGTAGTGTAGTACGGTGTCAAAGGGAAACATATACACATAACATATTTCAAAATTAATGAGACTCTACGTACTTAATAAACTTTCTAAAAAGCTTTCTTTGCGAACATCGGCTCACTGCTGAAGCAACATTCGAGATATACCTGAAAAGACCAATGCGAAGTTCCAGTTACTGAAATCGGCGGAAAATCGCTGAAAAGTTTCTAATAGCCAACAGCTGTCCATATGAATGCAAGTCAAGTGTGCTTAATGGTATTTAACAAGGCGGGGCCAGACATATGGCCAGCCCAGCATTCATGTCGATCAGATCACAGATCACTGATACCATGCGGCTAGGAACAATTGAGCTGCACCGGCTTGTTAGCCAGCGCTTTGTGCGGCAGCTAACTAGTTAATCAGTAGTTAATCAATTGCAATGCTGGCAATTAAAGGGACGCAGAGAAATCAGCCGCCCCGCCGTCAATTACTTTGTGCAATGGGCAACCTCGGTCAGTTCATCAATATAGCCAACCGATCCTGCGACCCAAGCCACGAACGTGCCACAACGCACTGTTCTTGCTACTGCAGTTGTAGTTGCTGGTGTTTTTTGTTTTTTTTTTTCTTTTTTTTTTTTGGCAATTTGCAACCGGTTTTTCAAATTCCAGTGTATGTGCAGCGGGGGCAAAATCAATGTCAATGCTCTGGCGCAATTTGCAAGCAGCACCAGAAGAGAGAAAGAGAGACAGGGAGAGAAAAGTGTGTCACTCGGCGTCGCACGCGAGCGGATAGAAGCCAATCAAGCGATGATTAAACTACATATAAACACAGTTAAATTAAAGTAAATCCAAGCACAAAGATAAGCAAACGTTATTTTCTGTCGCACTAGTTTGATTATTTTATATCTTATTCTCCAAATGACTCAATTGAGGTTTTTTGCGCTTTGTGGGAAATGGCTCCAACTGGGTTAGAGGTGGGGGCCAGGGCAGGGGCTTCAGTGTCGCTTAATTTAACGCTAAACAGTTTTTAGTTCTCAGAAATTCGGCATAGTAATGCTTTTTATGGACCTCTATACATATACAAATACACATATGTATGTGGGCTTCTGTGTATGTGTGTGTGTCTGTGTGTGCGCGCTTACCCATGAATGAGAAACGTAGACTGCTTATCTAAAACAGACGACGCGTCGTAGCCGACTTGGAAATTTGAGCGAACCGTTGGTTTCGCATTACCCAAGAGATTCGAGTACTTCCAGCATATATGTATATACATATACACACACACTCATACTATATGTGTATATTCATATAAGCAAAACAGCTGAGTGGACACTTCGAATGTGGCAACAAGCAGCAAACAACAAACAACCAACAACAACAACAACACCACTCACTGAACAGCAGGCGGTGCGGCAGCTATGTACATCTAACCCTACCCACATTTCTGTTTAAATTTGAGTTTCGAATCGCAATCGGCAAACGGGCATCAGGCAAACCGCACAAGTGCACAAAGGAAATGACTCAGAATCAATATGTTAACTGCCTGTGTGGAGGGGGAGGGCATGCCCAAGGATTGGCCTGATGAGTGCACACATTTTGGTGGGCGTCTACTGTTACAGGATAGGGGCCCATAAGCGTTGCGGCGAGCTCCGAGTTTCCGCAAGCAGACGATAAATGCATTTTAAATTATCAGCAAGCGCCTATATACATATAATATGCACAAATTATAATTTCATAAATTTCATTTTTATGCATACATATGTACATATGTACGTGTATATACATATGTATGTGCGTGCGTATGTACATACGTGTATGTGCCCTGGCAGAGTCAACAAACTGAAGACCTCCTCAGTTTTTGTTTTTTGTGTTTCTTGTGAAAGATTTATTATCGCGTCTGACTTGAAAAATAAGCAAAACAGCTGGCGAGCGGTAGTCGGCTGTTGGGTAGCTGGGCAGCAATGGGGCGAGGCGTCTGTCAGAATGTTCTTAGATGCCCCAATGGCTGGCTACATGTGAAAATGCATTTTCGCATATTTTCAAGGGCTGCCAGAAAAGCCATGGCCGAAGAAAACCCGCAGGCGATCCGCAGACGGACTTAAGACTTCAGTCTCCAGTCGTCAGACTTCAGACTGGCTGCGACTCCAAAGTTCATGCTCGAGTGATTTCAAGTGCCACAGACCGAAAGACTGCCAGCCAAAGCCGTAGCTTCAGCTACAGACATGCAACACTTAATGAGGGCGTCGGCAGCTGATCGCATGTGCAGAGCGGGGAGTGCGAGAGTGGGGAGCAATGGGCAATGGGCAAGTGCCAGAAGGAGATAGCAGGAAACAATGAAGCAGTGCAATACATTACGATTCTCCTAATACTCTCTGGATATTCTGCTAGCAGAAACAGCAGAGCAGCAGCACGGAGACAAAGAAGAGAGCACAAACTACAGAAATCAGCAAGAAACTAACTGTACAATCTAGACGGATAATAGAGCCTAAAACAAATTATTTTTTGTCATGAACATATTTCCTACCATAAGTTCATTCATTCAATTGAAATTCTGTGGAATTTTTCATTAATCACGTTTCACTATAATTAACTTGAGATTCATTCTAATCAGCTTATGACAGATATTTGGCCTTCCATGCTTTCTTCAGATTACACTTCTTTTAGTATTTGTACATATACCTTATACATATGTATGTATATAAAATTATCGTGTCGTTGTGTTTGTTGTGTGTAGGGTAGGGTAGGGTAGATCTGAAAATCGTCTAACCTCTACTTCGCATGGCCCTAAGTTTAAAGGGTAAGGCATCATAAATTTTGTTTTTATTTTTGACATAATGATCTTACGATATCATTCAGTAACACAATTTACAATGAAGCATTGATTGCTATTGATGACCTCTTCATTAGCATTGAGAATTTACCCAGTAGGGTTGATAACAGTGACAGTAGTTCGGTTATGCTCTCATGTTAAACAGTTATTCACATTTAATGAATACGTGCACGTTATTAAAAATTATTCGTGTTTTATTAGTATGAAGAGTACAAAAGTTATTATTCCCATAGTAAGCCCACAAGGCAGCCCATCTATGTTTAGCGTGCGTGCGTATGTGTGGCTGTGAGGGTGTGTATTTCTTGTGTAAGCAGGAAGAAGCAAAAAATTATCATTATTATCATGCTGAAATATCAGTTGCTCGAAGGGTTCAGGGTATATCGCAGTCGAGTAGTCCCGATTAGAGCTTTCTTACTTGTTTAACTTCATTTCTTTGTTTGATTAAAAGACATTAGTGCCAAGAAAATTCAAAAGGCTAATTTGAGCCGTCGAACACTAAATTTAGAGGTTCATAGTATAGCATAGCACAAAGATCTGATGAAGAAGGGCAACAAAGCAATGCAGATGACCGTATGAGCATGACGAAGTTACGTGCATCATAATTGCAAGAGGCACGAGATAAGCGAAACCAGCTAAGGCAATTAGATCGAAGACAAACGCGCAGATACGTAGAGAATTTGACCGACAACGTCAACAAGTACCTCGAGCATTTACATCACATTAATTTCTTTGTCTAGCTTTTCAGTATGAGCCTGATGTTGAAGATTACGCTAATTCCAAAGTGGTCATTAGTACATTGTACAAGAAATGCCCGCACTGCATTCCCTTGAATTTAAAAATTAGCTAATCGGGATAAAGTATACTTCGGTTGCTTACAACGCTTTCGGCTATAACTGCATCAGCTAGTTCTCTTATAATTAATATCCAGGAATGTAGATCTAGAATTTTGGATATATGACAAGAGTGTGTGTGTAAATAAATTCAATGGAATTATCGCAAATTTTCAAAACATATTTTGTTCGTAGTTGAGGAAAAGAAATTGGTTTCACAAATATGGAAAGGTGCTCATAAGGCATATGAAAAGAAATATATCAGATATAAATATATAAATAAATATTCACAAGCAACATTTATGTAGCAAGATGCTGGAAATAAGAAGTCAAATAAAGTTGTTTTTAGCTGTTAACTGAGTATTGTATGAGGTTATTAGATAAGGCCTGGAACTTAGTCGTAAAGGCTCACGAATCTTATTTCGCAGCAGCTCGTTTGAGCGATAATGTATCACACTTAATACCTAAGAATTTCCACATTTTCTTTTGTGCGCTTCATAATTGTTTCTCCGCACCTTTCGGGCCACGATCGTGCCGCTGATAAGACCGGTCTGCAAAGCTATTTCAGTAACTCAGTGCACGTTCTCAAAAATTTGTTGTATGAAATCGGAGGCAGCCCAGGAGTATGACGCAGCCAAAAGCAATTTACGCAGCTGGACCTGACTGCGGACCGCGGACCGCAGACAGCGGACTGCCAGCCCATTTCCCCAAGCAATCACTACTGTTAACCGAAAAAAGCAATTTCCCGCAACTATCAACGGCAGCATCAAAAAGTAAAAAAAAAAAAAAAAAAAAAACAAAATGTGTAGAAAAGTCAGTTGAAAGAAAAGCGATCGGCCAGAGCGGGAGAGAGAGAGGTAGAGAGAGAGAGGGAGAGAGAGAGGGAAAGAGTGGAAGACATGAAAAGTGGCTTTTCACTTCAACAGTTTTGTGCGCTAATTTATTTTTGTTGCTGCCTCAAGCGAGTTGCATGATTTCGTTGTTTGTTTGGAGCCACAAGTCCGGCATATAAACTGCGCTTTTTTGTTGCAGCCGCTGCCGCTGCAAGCCTCATAATTGCAACGGACACACTCCAATTAAATTTGATGATCTCGCGATGATTGTACATGCAATTGATCTGCCTTTCAAGTAAACAAAGTAGAGAGGCAAACGCAAAGGCAGTGGCAGAGACAGAGGCAGAGGCAGAGCCTGAGGTAGAGTCATAGGCAGAGCCAGCGCCAGAGCTTGGAGCAGGAGCAGGACCAGGCGCAAGCGCGGACGTCATTGGCTGAAAATGCCTAGATCGGAGCAGACCGTAAACACGTCAAGCTCAAGTGCCAATGGGAAACCAGGCAGACAATCTCAGCAGAGCTCGGAAAAGAAAACTGGCACGGGAGCAGGGACCAGAGAGCTGCGAGCTGGGAATGGGTAGCAGCTGCCACTTCAAGCGATAACATTTTTATTGTTTCCGCACTGTAGATTTGTTTATTTTCCTTTTGGTGAACCCCGATTGGCGTCCAATTAGATTCACGTTGGAATCACAACTTTGTTATTGAAAACCCATTGCATTGACGATTTATGTGTTGCGCTTGAACGCTCGAATTTCTTTGGCAGAGCCCGGCCCAGGCCAGCAATCAGCGAATGATAATGCGACCCATCTTTGGTCAAAATAGCCAAAATCTCAGACTAGCTCGATGTTAAACGCTGGAGAGCATTTGCAGCGCGTTTCCGCAATAAACGTGTTCGTATGTGTGCAAGTATCTATTCGATTTGCTTGGCATGCCAGCGAGCAAGCGAGCGAGCGGTTGCCTTCTAATGATGTTGTCGATGTCTACGATTGGCGTCTGCTGGGTTAATTTAGTAACTGCGAGTCGTCGCCTGGGTCGTTGGCCTGCAGTTCAGCTGTGACTCAGCAGCCGCAATTGACACATTTGTATCTATATCTGTATCTATATCTATATCTATATCTATATCTATATCTATATCTATATCTATATCTATATCTAT